CTGAAGGAGATGTTATACTACAGGTTACGGTCTTGTCTTGTCTTGTCTTGTCTTGTCTTGTCTGGTCTGGTCTGGTCTGGTCTGGTCTGGTCTGGTCTGGTCTGGTCTGGTCTGGTCTGGTCTTCTCTTCTCTTCTTCATTTCAATATCTCTTCTCTTCTCCTCTCTCCTCTTCTCCTCTCCTCTCCTCCTCTCTCCTCTTTTCTCTTCTTTTCTTCATTCTGATATCTCTTCTCTTCTCCTCTCTCTCCTCTTCTCCTCTTCTCTCCTCTCTTCTCTTCTTCATTCCAATATCACTTCTCTTCTCCTCTCTCCTCTCCTCTCTCTCCTCTTCTCCTCTCCTCTTCTCTCCTCCTCTCTCCTCTCTTCTCTTCTTTTCTTCATTCTGATATCTCTTCTCTTCTCCTCTCTCCTCTCTCTCCTCTTCTCCTCTTCTCTCCTCTCTTCTCTTCTTCATTCCAGTATCACTTCTCTTCTCCTCTCCTCTCTCTCCTCTTCTCCTCTCCTCTCTCCTCTTCTTCATTCCAATATCTCTTCTTTTCTCTTCTCTCCTCTCTCTCCTCCTCTCATCTCTCCTCCTATCCTCTTCTTCATTCCAATATCTCATCTCTTCTCCTTTCTCTTCTATTCTTCGTTCCAATATCTCATCTCTTCTCCTTTCTCTTTTCTTCCCTTCTTCGTTTCAATATCTCTTCTTTTCTCTTCTCTTCTTCATTCTAATATCTCATCTCTTCTCTCCTCTCCTCATGTCTTACTCTACCCTGCCCTACCCACTCCACTCCTCTCCATCCACCCCATCCCATCCATTCCAGGTCACCTCACCTCACCTCATCCCTTATTGTTATGTTGGTGTTGTGTTATGTTATATTTTTATGTTATTCCATTATATTTTATGTTACAATATGTTACATAATGTTTTAGTTTAGGGCTGCAGGTTATATATCAATGGACAGGGGCAACCTTTATAACACAAACTCTGACAATCCTTTGTTTAAGGTCTTGCGATGAGATCTCTTTTAAAGATAGTTCAGAGACTTATCAAAGCTTCTAGGTTAATAGATTGGTAGAAGCTCTGAGGTACATTTTGAGTCCAATCCAAAGTATTGATTTTAATTTCTAGATAGCTTGTGATTAGAGTAACTGAAGTACCCTTCAGGATATGACTGAAATGCTGTTGGTCAGGTGTCTAAGAGCTAATGCCATCTCACCTGGGAAGTGCCATTTCTGATATACCTTCCCCGTCCTTTCAATTCCCTGCTAAGAAATGGTTCTTTCAAGGATTTCAATTTCATTTTTAACAAGTTTGACTGCTGTATATTGAAATGGGGACTTTTATTTCCTCTTATTTCATTTCATTTGAGCTATTTATTGTTTTGTTCTTATGTTGGCCATATCAGGTGGTTTTTTTTAAATAACTTTGCACTGTATCCAGGAGAACCTGAAAGGGAGGGAGGAAAGGAAGGAAGAACCTGAAAAAGGATGAAAGGATCAAAGAAGAAAGAGAAAAAGAAAGGAAAGGAAAAAAGGAATGAAAGAATGGAGGGAGGGAGGAAATGGAGGAAGAATGGAAGGAAGAAAGAAAGTAAGGAAGGAAGGAAAGAAAGAAGAAAGAAAGAAGAAAGAAAGAAGGGAAGGAAGGAGAATGGAAGAAAGAAAGGAAAGAAGGAAGGAAGGAAGGAAGGAAGGAAGGAAGGAAGGAAGGAAGGAAGGAAGGAAGGAAGGAAGGAAGGAAGGAAGGAAGGAAGGAAGGAAGGAAGGAAGGAAGGAAGGAAGGAAGGAGCACAAGGCCCTATTGGACTGTTTTCATTCCTTTTTTAAGCCCCCCAAAATAGGTAGCTGGGGAAAAAAATAGTTATCTTTAAAACAAATAAGGCATTTTTTGGTTGGGTTTTAAGCCAGTACTTTTCTATTTACAAACCAACCATTAGAACCATTGCTGCATGCTGTGCAGCATTGGTGGCAAAGGGAGCTGTAGAAGACCTTTAAAAAGAACAAAACACGAAGGGAGCAACATCTATGAAGATTCTCAGTCATCCAGTTCATAGTTGTCCCAAAGATGTTTTTTCAAGAAGCAACTGGGCTGTCTGGTTTTGCTTTCCAGCTGTCTGCAAGGAGTATAAATCCTTCGCTTCCCCACCATCCAGTCAGAGCTAAAGAAGCTTCTTGGGTGAGAAGCGAAAGGTCTTCAAAGAAAAACCAGAAAGTCCAGTTGCCTGTTGAAAAAGCACCTTTGGGACTAAGGGAGGAATGGAGCTAATTCTTAAACCTGCTGTCAGGCCTGCAGTCATCTTTTCTTTTGTAGCTTTGGCCTGGCACACTTTCTAATATTCTACTATGCATTTTCTATTGTGGGAAAATGGGAAGGGGGATTGTACAGAGTTAGATGCTATGTAGCCATAACAACATTCTTTCTAGAAAACCAAGGTCATCCTTTGTCTTTGCAACTCTGCACCTGACCGGAACTGGATGGATGGAACTGCCAGCCTAGCAGTGGGAGATTGGACCATGGGATGGAGTTGTGGATGTGGGGCAAGATCTTGAAGTTTCAACTGGGTGGGGAAAACTAGGAAGCTTTCAGATTCGGGTTTTCCCAGATGTGCCAACATGGCTCTCTTCATAAATTGGAACTTTGAGGAATCCTTTGCCTTGGACTCTGATTTAATTTTTGGATGCTGTTTGGAACCCTGACACCTGCATTCATTTGCCTACATGTGCTTTAATCATCATTGTTTAATGACCCCATAATCCCCTGTGGGGTGGAGTCTGGGCAACTGAATGGAGCTAGCAGAGTGTTTACTGGCCGGATGCCCTTCCTGTCACCAGAACGGAGTTTTGTTCAGCGGATCTATTCTCATTGTGAGAACCCAGAGAGAGAAATATCTACCTCTACCTAGGATCGAACTCACAGCCTCCTAATTGTGAGGCGAGAGCTCCACCTCTGGGCCACCATAAAGCTATTAAGTTAGATGGTGACATAATATTCCCTATCAATAACATGCCTCAACTCCCTAGAGATTGTGGGCTTGTGCAGCTGATATTCTTCATTGGGTAGAGAAATTGTCTTTGTGAGCATAATGCTAACTGGTCTCTGTGACCAATATAGTGACCAACCAAGTGGGAAATGGCTCGTAAAGAAACAATATTATGAGAAGAGCCAGTCACGTGGGTCACATTTGGATGCTTGACAGCTGACTTGCATTTATGACAGTTGCAGTTTACGACTGCTCCCCCTCTAGGTCACCAAACTACCCCCTGCATGTTCTTTAATGCATATATATATATAAATACAATTTAACTTTCTCTTCCCTTGTTGCATGTGCATACTTACTCATGTGCATATAGAATGTCCACATCAAGTCAGACCACTCCATAGAAAAGAAAGCGATCGGCAATCGATTTCCTGGTGCAGAAAGTTAGGATGGAAAAAAGAGAAGCTCTTGCAAAGCTGTTACCAAAGCAACTCAGACAGGAATTTCTAAATTCGTCTTAAGAGTCAAGCTGACCTGAGTACAAGATGAGGAACAGCTTGTAAACCCAACGTGGATATAGCCCCAGTTGCAATTTAAAACCAATTTGATTGAACTCCTGAACTGATTTTTTTTCCCCTTGAAATCTTGAAAGGACTTGCGTTCATAAGTAACTCCCCCTTCCCAATTTTTTTTAAAATACCAAATTAATTTAAAGTCAAATCCAACTCTGTTATTCTGCTCTGTTCCATTTGAGTCAATTTTTCACTCCCCCTCATCATCTATTAAATGGATCCGGCTATTCAAATCAGTTTCAATCAAATCACCGGTCCGAATAAAATAGGCAGCTTGGATTGGATCACAAGAAATTCCCGTGTCCTGGAGACGATGTCTTGGGATTCCATACCCTACAAGGTAGATACAAAAAGAGGAGAAGGCCAAAGAACAGAGGCAGACTTGGAAGAAGATGGAGAGACAACATCAATGACACACAACAACATCAATTAACAATGGTTGACACTGCCAAAGAGCAAGAACTAGAACTTTGTATCTCCTTCAAAACCCAAAGTGGAAGAAGAAGGAGAAGGAGAAGAAGAANGGTGAGATTTGAACAGCCGAACTGCAGAACTGCAGTCAGCTGAAGTAGCCTGCAGTGCTGCATTTAACCACTGCGCCACCTCGGCTCTATATAAAAGTTGAGAGCAGTATTTTTCAACCTTGGAAACTGTAAGCAGTGCGGACTTCACTTCCCAGAATTCCCCAGGCAGCTATGCAGAATTCTGGAAGTTGAAGTCTGCATATCGTCAGTTTGCTAAGGCCGAGAAACCTTGGTTTAGAGCAAGGCTCTCCAAACTTGTACATTGTACAGCGCAGATCAGCTCATCCCATCTTGAGGTTCTCCAAAGCAGGGATCTCCAACCTTGACAACTTTAAGACTTGTGGACTTCAACTCTGAGAATTCCCCACTTGTTGGCTGGGGAATTCTGGGAGGTGAAATCCACCAATCTCTGAGCCGCCAAATTTGGAGAGCCCTGGTTTAGAGACTATGTGGCTAAGAAAAAGGCTTGGGGCCCAAATCTTTGCAGTTAAATCCACCAATTGTTGGATTTCACCAGCTTTCTCCTTCGGTAGATTTTCCCCAATCGGAGCTAATTTCAAAGCGAGCGATTTCCGAGGAGATAATTACAGTGCAATTTGTTTAGCAGCGTTCAGGGGAAGCATTCATCCAAGTTAATGCTTTGTGGACGTGCGGATTTATTTTTATCACATCAAAAAATAACGTCTACCTTCTCCTCTTTCCACGCAGTTGGGATTTTTCTCTAAACAGCCTCTGGCTTGCGTGCCGGATTGGTATTTCCGGATGACCACAATTTTGGATTCTTGGGATGAATATTTATCCAGATTACATTTCAACTGCAATTTTTGGAATTGAGGAGTGGGACTTCCTCTGTTGGCCCATCCGAAAGCTTGGCAAAGAATCTGCAACATTTGGGGGAGGGGAGAGGTAAAAAGGCTTAGGGAATCAAGAAAACTCCTAAGAACATTGATGCACAAGGATGCATTTCTGTTGACTGTCGTCATCATCGTTGTCTGAACTTACAATCAGCACGAGATAGATGAGAATGAGGAAGATGAGGGCGATTAATATTCCAATGATTGCCGGCCAATCGGGTTTCAGAACTAGATCAGCGATCTTTGCAATGCCTACTTGAACGACATGAGCCGGAGTTGTTGGGTAGAACGGTCCTTCTTCGTAACACTGTCCACCAAATGGTAGCATTCGGATATACTTCTCAAAAGGAAGACACGGGCAGGGAAAATGAAATCAGAAGGTGTGGAGGTGTGATGTTGTCATGTGCTCTAGGATAGTGCTACTCAACTGTGGCAACTTGCTAAATCCAATGGGTGGATTTCAACTCCCAGCATTCCCTAGTCAACCATGGTCTACCCTCTAAAAGGGGCAGAAAGTTCTATCTCCCTATTTCTGTCAGGTCTCTGTCTATCTGTCCCTCCCTCCCTTCCTCCATCTCTCTCTCTCTGTCTCTCTGTCTCTCTCATCTCACCAGGCTCAAGGTTGACTCAGCCTTCCATCCTTCCAACATTGGTAAAATGTGGACCCAAATTGTTGGAGGCAAGAGGCTGACTCTGTAAAGAGAGGGCTGTCTGTCTGTCCGTCCGTCCGTCCATCCATCCATTCATCCATCCATCCATCCATCCACCCACCATCTATTTATATCTATTATCTTATCTTATCTTATCTTATCTTGTCTTGTCTTGTCTTGTCTTGTCTTGTCTTGTCTTGTCTTGTCTTGTCTTTTCTCGTCTCGTCTCATCTCATCTTATTCTATCTATCTATCTATCTATCATCTATCTATCTATCTATCTATCTATCTATCTATCTATCTATCTATCTATCTATCTATCTATCTATCTATCT